GGGGTAAGGGATGCTCCAGGTTCCATTGACCGTACAGTATAGAGTTGTTTTTCCAATAAGAGAATAGCCGGGGTCACAGCTGTAATTTACAGACTTTCCAGGGATGAACACTTTCACATCCTTGCCATCGTGCTGGCCGTGGTCAATTGCTGACGGGGAGGGACACAGCCGCCCTACAGGGAAGGAAATCTTCACTGAGAATAGGATGGGCTTTTGGGTTTTCTGTTTTGTTTTCCCGCTTAGCACTAGAGAACTGAGTCTCTCTAAGTATAAATATGTGGATTTTCACTTTTCTCCCCTTCTTTCCTCCCGTAATCCCTTTCTATGACTGGCATATCCACAAGTGAAAAAGGCAGGTGGATGCACCTTCACACCGAGGGGCAGGGACGCTCCAAGCTCCAGAAGAAGTACAATGAAGCTGTGCCTCTCCAACAAGAATGTAGCCAGGATCGCAGGCGTAGCTCACGGACATGCCGCTGGCGAAAACTGCCGTGGCTTGGCCACTGTGCTTTCCGTTGGCAATGGCTGGAGGGTGAGAGCACTGCAAGACTGGGGGAAAAGAGCAAAACCACATTCATGTCAGTAGTGAGAAAAAGGAGGAATATGGAAAAATGAGTGAGTTGGTGCACAGGAGCATTGCAGCTGAGCTGCCAGCCTGTAAGAGACAGGGGTGTCTTGGACAGCTATCTCTTGGCTGCTGCATATTGCCAGAGTCCACCCAGATGCTTCAGCCCTCTGGACTACTTAGCTCGTATTTCTGTGCACTCATCCCCGGTGAGTGCCAGAGGGCTCTCAGTGAGCGCAGCAGGGCCGGTGCGGGCACTAACACATTCTGGCCCCACATCCTCCCCGGCCCCTCCTGTCTTGCAAACAGCCACTGCTCGGCAGCACGTCCCTGTGTGTGCCCTGCCCTCCCTGCAGCCTCGCCAGCGGGGACGGATTCCCGCGCACCGCAGAGCCCTACCTCCGCACCGCGGCGGCGGCCCGCTCCACACGCCATGCTCCCCGTCCGCTGTGGTGCAGAAGATGGAGGGCTCGGGGGCCGGGGTCGCAGGGGTAGGTGACCCCATCCGCGTAGGAGAAGGTGCCCATCAAGTGGCCACTGTGTCTCCCGTGGGGGATGTCCGGCGGCGGATCGCAGGCGATACCTGTGGGCGCATACAAGGTGGCTTTTAGCATCAGTGCTGCAGCAGCACCCGGGGTCTGCAGGACACACATGCTTCTCAGGAAGGGAGCCGATGAGGATGAACTCATCTCAGTGGTGATGCTCTCTGTCTTTGCCTTGGAAGATCTTTCCCAAGGACAGCACGGATCTGAATCTCTTTGTGCTGTGTTTGGTTTCTCACCAGTCTCTGCTCAGCTCCTGCTGCAGTGTACTTACTCTGGCAGACGGGAACATCACCGCTCCACCTCACTCGCGTCCCAGAGCTCGAAATCACACAGTGCCGCTGGGATGCTCCAACCAGCCTGTGCCTGGGGTCAAACAAAGTCACTTGTGTCACTACAGGACCGTCTTTGGAGGTCGCATGTCCCACAGCAACCAAGTATTGCCTTAGTTGCCATCTAATACTGCCGTTTTAAAGCTATGAACCTTAGCTCGTATGGGGACCTCCCCCCAGGTCCCCTCGATCAGCACAGGGAGTGCACCCCTGGGGGGCTCAGGGAGCTGCCACGCCCTCTCCTCTTCCTTCTGTCCTCTAGAAAAGTCCACTTTAACGACTTCTGGTTTAAGCCAAAGCTTCCAAAATAAAATGCGCTCCACGCAACCAGACTGAGGCAGTCGTGCCCTCTAAATGGCACTTAAAAATTTATAAATAAAACCCCTTCTCCACTTTCTGTTGCCATTTGTCTAGAAATTAGACTAGAAATAGACCGTTGCAAAGACCAGAATTGCTTTTGTGCCAAAATTGTTTTAAACTACCCAAAGGATTCTGAGGTTTTCCCTGATCATTTGGATGATTTCTGTTTTCTCTCAGCACCTGACAACTCCAGTTTCTCCTCCAGCAACACCTTGTGCAGGCGACACTGGGGTGCTCTGAGCTCAGAGACAGAAGCCCTGGTCTCTTGTGGGAAGACACGCGGTGCCTGCGAGTTGCAGGGAGCACAGAAGCATGGCTGATTTCATCTCGGTGAGGCGAAGGAGCTTGGCTGGGACTTACCCTTCATTGCAGGTGTAATTCACTGTTGACCCAAAGAAGAGATCTGTTGTAACAATAACTCTGCCATTCTCCGGTTCTCCTGGATGAACACACTTTCTCCCTGGGCAGAAGAAGACCTGGTTTTAAGCTTCTTTAACTCAATGCCATAGAAAAAGAGTCACTAATTCTGGGAGTCTGCCCAAGCCCCAAGAGGAGGGAATTGAAAGGGGGAAATTACAAGGCTTCAGTCGTCACACTGCGATTTAAACAAACTAGAAGCATCTGCAAAACATACGTTTGCAAAACTCCTGGGCTTCAGACCATGTTTGATTTTCAAGACACGTAATAGTTGGTGATATCTGTGGATGTTTTACGTATCCAGGCCGACAACTGTACTTCACAGTCTGCCCAACAGGAAACTCAGTCTGATTTTTATACTCCTTGTTTAGCTGAGCAAACAATAACGTTGTTGGTGTCCCACAGCCAGCTGCCAAGAAACAAAATGCACATGAGAAATACATGCTGGCTGTGAAACACAGCTAAAAAGAAACAAGCGCATTGGTAGGCACTGTTACAAACCCCAAGGTATTAATATCTTTTCTATGTATTCTGACATTTATCTACATAAATTAACACTTACTTATCATGTAAGGACACGTGCACCCAATTTATATATTCTTAAAAAAATGAAACAAAACAACACCCCACTCCCCCCAAAAAACCAGTTTAGCCAGTTTGGTGTTTCCACACTCTGCACATCCTACACTGCAGCGTGCCACCATATAGTGCGTTGTCTTTGGGCCACAGAGTGCATGAATCTGCAATTTCAAAAATTAGAACACCCAAGACTGTCTCCTTGCAGGAAACCATGGGCTTTAGCAATGCCACCAGGTTATTCCCAGTGCCACCAAAGTGAACACAGCATCCTGCGTGTGCTGGAGGCACGATTAGATCCGTGGG